TGACGCGATTGGTCAAGGCGACGATGGATCGAGTGATGTGCGTTGTTCGAGTATCGGGGACACTCTCGAGTCCCTTTGAATCTCGAAGGGGGTTACGGCAAGGTGATGGACTTTCGTGTCTGCTATTCAACATTGCGTTAGAAGGTGTGATCAGAAGAGCTGGAATAGACACGAGTGGCACGATCTTCAGGAAGTCCATCCAGCTTCTTGGCTTCATCGATGACATTGACATCATGGCACGGAACTTTGAGACGATGGCGGAAACGTACATCAGACTGAAGGCTGAAGCTAGGCGGATTGGACTTGCCATCAACGCATCAAAGATAAAATACATGAAAGGAAGAGGTTCTAGGGAAGACAATGTTAGCCTCCCACCCCGAGTTCAGATTGACGGTGACGAAATCGAGGTGGTCGATGAGTTCGTGTAGTTGGGCTCACTGGTGACCGCTGAAAACGATACCAGCAGAGAAATTCAAAGACGCATTATGGCAGGGAATCGTGCCTACTTTGGACTCCGGAGGACGCTCCGGTCGAATAAAATTCGCCGCCGCACGAAGTTGACTGTCTACAAGACGCTGATTAGACCGGTGGTGCTCTACGGCCACGAGACCTGGACTATGCTCGTGGAGGACCAACGCGCCCTTGGTGTTTTCAAACGGAAGGTGTTGCGTACCATCTACGGTGGAGTGCAGATGGATGACGGAACGTGGAGGAGGCGAATGAACCACGAATTGCACCAGCTGCTGGGAGAACCATCCATCGTCCACATTGCAAAAATCGGGCGACTACGGTGGACTGGGCACGTCGTAAGAATGCCGCACGACGACCCAGTGAAAATGGTTCTAGAAAGCGACCCAGAAGGAACAAGAAGAAGAGGCGCGCAGTGGGCAAGGTGGATCGACCAAGTAGAAGGCGGGCAAGGTGGATCGACCAAGTAGAAGGCAACTTGCGGACCCTTCGCAGACTACGAGGTTGGCGAAGTGTGGCCATGGATCGAGTAGAGTGGAGACTACTTCTTCGGACAGCAGAGGACAACAAGGCCTTAGTCTAATTGGTAAGTAGGTTCTTCTATTGGAGTCTTCGCAACCTTTGCGTCACGAAGTCCAAATCGCTCAGCCACACGGTCGATGTAGCCTTCAAGAGATATGCTGTACTTCCCTTCCGATACTAGTAACCTCCAGACCCAGAAAGTAATTCAAATCACCGAGATCAGTCATCTCAAATTCCTGTCTCAGTGCATTATAGATTTTCTCTATTTCAGCATCGCTTTCACTGCCAACCAGAATATCGTCCACATAAACCAGCAAGTAGACGCGCTTTCTGTTGACGATCTTCGTGTAGAAGCATGGATCAGCCGTACTTTGCTCAACTTCGGGCACTCCCGACGAAAATGACCTTCTTCTTGGTAGTAATGGCACACACCTTTGATGGAACCGGTGAAAATAATAAAAGACAACCAGAGTTGCATTAAGTTTGTCGGATCGGAAAGAAGCAGTCGCCGATCGAAGCACATCGAGACTAGGGAATGCTACGTCAAAGAACTTTGTTATGAAAAGATTCTTGAGTTGGTCTACTGTCCGACCGAACAGATGGTGGTGGACGTACTTACCAATAAATACATACCTACCTTTAGAAATAACTTTCATAAAAGTGCGTACTAAATATTGAATTGGTGTAGAAGACAAAAACCTTTTTAATTTATTTTCTAAAATTTCCGTTCAAGTTCCGCCAGAAGCTGCTTAAAATGCTCTTCAATTATGGTACCGGAACTTTCAAGTTCTTATAGCGACATAAAAATGAGGCTGCTTAGAATTTTATAAACCACCTTCAACCAAGCTGATTAAGCCACAAATAGCCTTTTATCAGAACTTTTGGTACTTAGGAATGGCAACGAAACGTGATAGCGCCCCTCAGATGCAGCAAATTGGGCGCGCAGTGATGGAAGGCGTCTCGTGCGCGTTATGGCCGTAGCGGTGGGAGTGGCAGCTGGACGGAGGGTCTCCGATTTGGGCACGAGAGCTAAGCGTCGACGAAAGTCGTTCTGTCCCGGGACATTCGCTCCGCAGAGAAGAGGGGCCAACGTACCGTCGGACGGCTTCACGTACTTTGTTTCCGCTATGACCGCTCGAGATTAAATGTAACCCTCCTTCTTGTTGGATGGAATCCGGACCGTGGCAAGCGATTGGCAACGCACTCACACGGTCCGAGCTCTCTGACGAAAATCGTCCACGGAGGTTATGTCTTAAAAGGACCTTACCGACAGATAGTTGACGACCGCTATCTGCTTAGAGAATGCAAATCTTCATTTAAGTGTAAAAAGGCATCATCTTAAAGCTTTGAGGCTATGAATAACACAGTATCATCTGCAGATTAATGTCGTAAAATCGTAAAACACGTCGCGAGTCATTAATATACATAATAAATCAAAGCGCCTCCAATACACTTCCCTGGGACACTCCAACGTTATTCCCCACTGGATTGGTAACAGAATCATTAAAATCAGTGCTTAAAGCTCTGTCACACAAATAGCTTTCAAACCATTTATATATAGTGCTCGTAATTCCAAAGCGCTTGCACTTATCCATAAGGGCAAAGAAATTCTTTCAAAAGCGCATTTCAGATAAAAAAGCAACAGTCATATCTTTCCGCACCAAGTTGTATGTTCACTCTCCACGCCAAATTCAACGCAGTTTCACAAGAATGACCTTCCCGATATCCTGATTGTTCTGGTATCAACAAAGAGCTATTCAAATACTCCAACAGCTGGCCTTTAATAACAAGTTCTAAGATTTTCTCTAATATGTGCAACATGTTGATGGGACGAAACTCTTCAGCTTTAATCGTTCCAGCAACTTTTTGAATAGGAACCACTAAGGATTCCTTCCAAATTTGTGACACATGACATGAAAGCAAATTTGAATAACTCTAGCATTATAAGTGTCTAATTCTACTGATGTTCCTAATGAAAATCAAATAACTCTAAGTTCATCTAATGTAACTGGGTGAAATCCTTGAAATCTACAACTAATATTACTAACATAACTCTCTTTTTTCCTTTATTTGTTTTTCGTCGATCTTGCTTTCAGTACTGAGTACCAATGCTACCGATGTCAGGGAAGCAACTTCCACACCTGGACCCTAGGTATCGACCCATCAACTCATCACCTGGGACCAATGGCTTTAATTCCATTGCAAAGGAAGGCGTGAGAATCCCGGCGGCCCCGACTGGGGTCGAACCCAGATCTTTCTGAACCATTTGTCCCTCTTACGTTTCAGACGCAAAATATCCAAATTGTAGCAGCTGCTCGAGTTATTTAAAGAAACAAACTTTTGCTCAACTAGTTGATTGGTACACGTTTTCAAAGCTTTAGTTAGAACACCTGTAGTTACAATTACTTGCTGCGTAAAATCCACGTTTCTCTCCACAAGATTCGAAACAGCCTGTTTCGTATATTTCCTTCAGCACATACGTTTAAAAGATCCTTATCCAATATATTAATCATCAAGGTCTCATGATCGGTCATTTTCAAATCAGTATCATTAACTGAACAAATATAATCAAAATTGGAATAAAGGTGGTCAACTAAAATTCTACTTCACCTGGAAATACGCGGATATTCATCTACCGTTTGTTTTAAGTGATTCTTTAATATGAAGAGCAACACCGCCAGTGTGTCTTGAATGTGATAAACATGCAGATCAAATGCTTCAATTTCTACAATATGAGGTTCAGCTAATAGAACTACGTAGTTTATTGCCAATATTCAAATACAAAAAATCGATTTGATTCACATTCCTCGAACTTGGCTGCTATTTATTGAAACGAAAGCTGTTTTTCTTCTGTTCACAAAGTATTTTATAAACCAAACATTTAGATCGAAATGTGGCATGGTTGACGTCCAAATTAATGTTACGTTCTTTATTCATTTTTAAACAATTAATACATTTCAATTTAGTTGACGTACACTCCGACGTATTGTGTTGTTGGCTGCACCTAGAGTATCTCTCACAATTTTTGCAATACATGCTCTTGTGTCCGAATCAAAAGCTACCCCGCACGACTTAAGCTTATCAGGCGGTATTCCCTGTACTTTCATCGACTTGAAGAAAGTTTGTTTTCCGCAAACAATGATAATAATAGAGGGAAAGAGCACCAATTATGACTTTGTGCCCTATTTTGGTCATAGAATTAAATATTATATAAAAGCTCATATGCGATATAATGGTACCGATTGTTACCTTGTGCTATTTTGTAAATGTTTTGCATTCAAGAGAAAGAAATCAGCGTGAAATATGTATAACTGTACGTTCAGTCGAAATAAAACATACTTGGACTATTATACTTTTTGATGCTTAACCCTTATGTGCTTGTGGAATGTTTTTACTTTTTTTTTAAGATTTAGATTGAGTTTTATTTATTTCGTCAACCCACGTAGACTAATACAAATACATATTCAGTTTATTTTTTCTTAAATAGATAATTAAAAATCATTGAAAAAAGTAAAACATTAATTTTTTTCTTAAATGAAAATTAACCATTGTCTACTTTCCTATTTTTCTTCTTATGGAGTTGTTTTAGTCTATGCCGACACATTGTAAAGTGCCATTTTTCATACCAAATAAACGCTAATTCAATGTTTTCAACATAATTTTTTTTTTATTTCGCTGTGCCAAACTCTAGTCCCTTTGATTTCGGAATCGAATCAGCTGACTGAGGCTTGTTTATACCGTGCCTTTACTGTCTGGGCTATCTCAGGCCCCAGAACATATTTAGATTTTGTCTCGATAGCCGACGAATATAGGCCAATTTTTTTTCAGTCTGATATTCAGCAATCTTTTCTCAGTGGTCAAGCTCTTCACATCAATCGGTTAAGTAGACACGAATAATTGAAATTCAAAAAACCTATTCAATTGAATGTAACGTGCTATCATCACAGAGTACATACAAACACCACAGTACAGACAGAAACTGTATAAATACCCTCAGACGTCCGCTTATCTTCACAGTACTCATCTGAACAGAATCATCATGCTACGTCGAAAAGTTGTGCTTAAGTTGGTCCTATTGATAGGCATTTTGCAAGGATCTATCTCACTGGTCGCCAGTAAGGTTTGTGTTAATTTTAATAATAAGGAATCATTTATAAATTCGTTAAAGCTCATATATTTTACTCTCATACTTTAGTGTGATGGGGTGTGCGTAAAACTTGATGAATGTGACAATGGGTTCGGTGGAATCAATTTCGTCAACTTGAGGTTAGTAATGCAATACTTGTTCAATCACAGAATAATACAGCACAGGTTAAATAAATTCATGAAGGTTCGGCGAAGAAGACTACGTGGAAGCGGAATGTCCTCATTACTTGGAAGTATGTTGCGACGCAGATAGTGTTGTAACAACTCGTGCTCCTCCAGTGGCAAACGAAAGTAACGAAAGGACACTCCCAAAACCGAATGGCGATGGGAATAACTCAAACCCGAATGAAGATGAGAATAACTCCAACGAGAATAACGCTGGAAATGGTAATGCAGAATCAGAAACAGTTGCAACTGGGCTAAATGACATTGCGGAAGGACCAAGGACAAATACCATTGAGGATGACCCAGTAAAAGATCTGATTGAGGACAACGGAGTACGCTCCCTTATCACGAAGCAATTTGGTGAGTGTGGTATAAGAAACCCAGAAGGCATCAAATTCAGAATTCAAAACTCCAACCTCAACGAAACCGAATTTGGCGAATTCCCATGGATGGTAGCAATCTTGCAAAGCCAGTTGAACTTAGAACAACCAGAATCGTCATATGCTTGTGGAGGATCATTGATTGCACCGAATGTAGTACTAACTGCTGCACATTGCGTGATGGACAAAGAACCACAAAAGCTAACGGTCCGAGCCGGTGAATGGGATACTATGACTACGAATGAAGTTCTGCCCTACCAGGTAGTTTTATCTCTTTGAAATCATTCACCAATAATCTACAACATATTTGATTTTACAGGAAGAACCAGTATCACGTATAATTTTGCATCCTCATTTCAATCGGAATATGCTGTTCCACGACGTAGCCTTGTTAGTGCTCGAGACACCATTTTCTGCAGCGGATAATGTCCAGTTGGCTTGCTTAGCACCACAAGGAATGGTCTTTAAGAACAATGATTGTTTCGCAGCTGGTTGGGGAAAAACTGCATTTGACGCACAAAGCTATCATGCTATCCTGAAGAGAGTTCCATTGCCTATAATACCCAAAGCGGAATGCCAAACTGCATTAAGAACTACCAGACTCGGACCGAGATTCCGCCTACATGAGTCATTTATCTGCGCCGGCGGTGAGGATGGAATCGACACCTGCACAGGTGACGGTGGATCACCACTTGTTTGTCCAGTTGCGGGATCCGAGAGCAAGTATTATCAAGCCGGGATCGTAGCATGGGGCATCAGTTGTGCCCATGAAGGTATTCCAGGAGTTTACGTGCAAGCTAGTTTGTACACACAGTGGATCGATGAGGAACTAGAAAAAATCAATTATATGAGCGTTGATAGAAGAAACAATTTATAAGAAGATACTGAATCTTAAAACTGTTGTTATCAGGGAAAATAAAGGAAAATTTCAAACTGCATTGCCCAATTGGTTGTTGACGAGAACTGAATTGTCCGAAATTCAACAGGTTTTTCATCAATACTAGACATGAAATACTATCGATTTCGATGACGATTTTGGAGTGCTTCCAAGGATATTTATTAGAGCCCCTTTTATGTATTATTTGTATGAATGACATGCGATGATTATTTCTAATACATGACATTCATCATTTTGCAGATAGTACTGTGTTCTTTTTTATTGTGGATAAAAATTTAGATGATGTTCTTATGAATTAAGACATTCGTTATATAAATATATGGATAAAGAATAACCATACATAGTGTTAGTTGATTTTTTTTTAATAAGTCAAGCAAAATTACTCATGGTAATATCAAGGAATCTAGTCAATGAGAACATGTCTGTGAAAATTAGTGATAAGAAAGCAGGTCACGTTCGTGAAATAAAATATCTTGGTGGGATTGTTGATGATAAACTCAAGTTCAATTCTCGTACCGATAATGTTCTTAAGACAATTGCCAAACAGTATGGATTATAACATAGCAGGAAATCGATTTAATTACATGTTTTCAATTTGCTATAAACGTGACCGCACTTATTAAGCAAAGATATAATACAATTTATTCACGCTTTTGTTTATTTTCGTTGGTAGATTCCTTACTTATGATAGGGTAATTGATTCTGGTTGGACCTATCCAAAAACTGAAGATGGTTGGACTTATTTTTCAATCGCTAGTTTAGTCAATCTTCGCTAATTTTTTAATTTTCAAAGATCACTTTACTATTATAAAAAAACTCTTTTTCTTCAATTTGCATGGGTGTTTTATTGAAAAAAAAAAACTTCGAAACAATTGAGTTTCAATGTGTTTTCAAAACAGTTCACTTTCCACGAATTGGCTAGTCATCATGCCTTACTTTCAAACATACAAAAAAGGAATATTTTTTACATTTATTTTTATTTTCATGCAGTAAAATACTGCTTTAAGGTGTAAACAACACATTAGTACGCCATTTATCCATTGGTTTCACTAAAATGTTTGAATAATTGACGAAATTCGAATAGATAAATATGATCATGGTTGGACCTACGCATGATGATGGTTGGACCACAGACAAACAGACGTAACTCTTTGTAAAAGTTTTTCTTGAAAACATAGTATCTTAAAACATAGGACCTCAGTAACGATATCTCTCGGGCTTCTCGCGGAAAACAAGCTTGCTCGTTAACTCTCTAACAATATTGCATAAAAGTTCTACAGAATGTATAGAAACGTCAAAGTGATCCGATGCCAGCGCTGTGGCGAGTAGTTCGCGGAACTGATAATATTCAAATCAACCATTAAATGCGTGAACGAAGATACACAATGAAGAGTTACGTCTGTTTGTTTGTGGTTGGACCTTTGTGTTTCCTAAGACGGCCACTAGGTGCGCTTCGTTTTGTCTACATCCTTCATGCGCAGCTGATTTGAAATTCGATTTCATTCGTTTTGGCCGAGTGATCAGTTTCTTCGATTGAAAAATGGCTAAAGAAAAGAGTTATACGGTCGAAAATCTTGAAGAGGCTGTTCTTTTAGTAAGAAATAAATCACTTACCTCGTATCAGGCGCAGAAAAGGTACAATATTCCGAAAACGACACATCACGTAAAAATTAAGGGAAGCCACGGCAAGAAATATGGAAGGGAAATAGTGTTGAGTGTTGATTTGGAGAACCAGCTAGGGGATTGGGTTTGCATGTGCGCTGCTTCTGGCAGTCTCAAGACGACCAAAAAGATCTTGGAAGCTGCTAAAGACATTGCGTCACTAGTTGGGCGTAAATTTAAAGGAGGAATTCCATCGTCAGGTTGGCTGAAAGGGTAACCACCGATTTCCGAACTACCACGAAAGCGCCGAAAGAATCTGTTAATATAAATTTACATTAAGCACTTCTCATACACCTTCTGTGTGTGAATTAACTTGAAATAAAATGTTAACAAATTAAAAATTGCTAACTGAAACTTATTTTCGAAAAAAAAAAAAACTTCTAGGAGAAAAAAAACTATAAAACCGGAATTAAGTTCTGATATTCTGTCATTTTAAGCCCCTAAATTCCCCTGGGGCACCCAGAAAATGTCCGGAAGTGGCCAATGTGGTCCAAGGCACTCAATTTTGTTATTGATCTTGTTATCGAATTTGGAAGTAATGTGAAGTGTCGCATGATAGGTTTTATTCCTTCCATGTCAAAATTAGGTCCATGTTCCATATAACCTAGAACTTGTTCCGGCCATATCTCCGGAACCAGTTGACCGATTCCAAAAATATTCGATAGCTTTCAATGGGACCATAATACCTATAGTTTGACGTTAAAAAAAATTCCAAATCAGGTCAATGATTTCCGAGAAAATGAACCATGATGAATAGTGGAAAGTGAACTTTTTTTTAAAAACGAAGTTAAACTCAAATTTCTTGATTTTTTTAAATAGCAAATTCATAAAAACTGTATAAAAAGGGTTTTTTTTCATGATACCAATTAGCTCTAAACAAAGTTTTTGAACAAATATGGGCTAAACTAGCATTTGCAAAAATAGGTCCAACCATCATCATTTTTCAGGTCCAACCAAGATCAGTATAGGTACAACCAACATCATAATTCTTTGGAATAAAAACGTTTTATAAAATCATGTGTTCATAATATTTAACTTTTTATGATATTATTAGAAACAAGAAAGGTAGATCTTTCCCCTAATCACGCATTTTTCATAATTATATATTGAATTCATAAAAAAAATACGACATGAATGTTGACGTCGTGTGAAACCGGCCTAAATAGGTCCAACCATCATCAGTTACTCTATCCTTTAAAGGATTGCTAGAAACTACGCATTGATAGTTCAGAATTCTGCAATATAATACCAGCACAGGCTGGTTTTCATGCATTTTGAGCTGTTAGGTTTTTCGTGACGGACATATCAAATCAAATAGACCACATTTGCATCAGCCGAAAATTTAGATGGATCTTGACGTCCATAATAAACGCAGCGCTGACATCACGTCTGACCATCACCTTCTAATCGGTGAGATCCGCCTAGGCATTGTGTGGATTCAGTGACAGGAGGAAAGATTCAAGCAGCGATTCAATACACCGACTAGAAGACGCAGCAGTGAAAAGGTCTTTCGTTGAAGAACTTGAGACCAGAGCCGTGGATGAAGAATCAAGAATGTGTATATCGAGACGAGTGAGAATGACCTGTTGAACTGTACATTCATCAAAAAGATTGGATCACGGAATATAGAGGAGCGTGGAGAAGCAAAAGTCGCGACAAAGCGGGCGAGATCCAGAGTTAGCGTTAGCGTTTGCGTTAGCGTTGTTATGATATACTTCGTAGATTGGATACTAGTGACACTCACGTCTCTTGTGAAATTCTCAGTTAGACTACTTTCAGGAATAATGCTGGGGAGTAAACATTGGTTCCAATCTAAACAAGAGTAACAGAAGCATAACTGTCGCTATTACCGGCCACGCCCATCTTTACCAAAACTAGGGATAGGGAAGGAAATGTTGATATAGTACTTACTTAACGAGAGGCCACCGACTCACAGTGGCACGAATATGAATAAAGACGGTCAAAAATATTTTCTACCCTTTTTCGACGTTTTAGAGACTGGGTGTCTTGCGAGAAGTTGCGCAAAATTATAAATTGCATCTTTTGAAATACACACCTGAATAATCTTTAAGCTAGTATTACACATCCAAATTCTAACTTTTTCCAGTTACGAGATAATGGTGTCTGGACATGTCTTGGACAAAGTTGCAGAGCAGTTGATTTCATGAACATTTGCTAAAGACACCAAATTTCTACATCATAACTCTGTAGTCCTATAATAGATTTTCTTTTAAGACTACCTTAATATTGGTTTTTTAAGTTAATTAGTGCTTTTTTTCAAATTTGATCAATTTATCATGTTCTAAGAAATTGTTGACATCATTAAAATATACAATTTTGCTGAATACACCAATGCTTTTCATTGACATCAATGTGATATACAGCCCATCAAGCGTTTAAGTGACGTCATATTCAACGGCTCGAAAAGAGGGTGGGCGGGCCCTGGCGGGGTCTAAAACTGGTTGTATTTTGAAGATTACCTTATAAAATAGTACTTCTGAAAATTTCAGCGTGGGTACTGAGGGGTACCTAGCCAAATCTCGATTCGAAAATGTTAATATTATATACAGTCGAATCAGTACCCAACGCTGAAATTTTCAGAAGTACTATTTTATAAGGTAATCTTCAAAATATAACCAGTTTTAGACAACGCCAGGGCCCGCCCACCGATGCAGAAATTTGGTGTCTTTAGCAAATGTTCATGAAATCAACTGCTCTGCAACTTTGTCCAAGACATGGAACCATTATCTCGTAACTGGAAAAAGTTAGAATTTGGATGTGTAATACTAGCTTAAAGATTATTCAGGTATGTATTTCAAAAGATGCGAGTTATAATCTTGAGCAACTTCTCCCAAGACACCCAGTCTCTAAAACGTCGAAAAAGGGTAGAAAATATTTTTGACCGTCTTTATTCATATTCGTGCCACTGTGCGACTTAGCGACACCCTCATAAGTGCTACGGAGTTGGAGGGTTGGGTAGGGTATTCGGTTAGGATTCACCTCAAGTTGGCGATGCAATCAAAATTATGTATTGTTTATTTGTTGTTTATTTAATCTCTCGGTAGCTGGCTATCGAAAGAACATATTCATTTTGTTTAGTGATCATGAATTTTAAGAGTCATAACGGAGAGCTTGGGATTAAACCCATGATTTTCTACTCAGTAAGCAAACACGATCCCTCCAGGGTCATCGAGCATCTCAGAACCATAACGCTTCGCGACAATACAGGGCTACGTTTTCGCTTGATATGCAAATAGTTTCCGAGGTTAATATTCAATATCAAATATACAATGATGGTGGCGATTTATTGTGTTGTGGAAGAGCTTGGGGTTAAACCCATGATTGTCTGCTCAGTAAGCAAAATCGATCCCTCCAG